GAGGGTAAGACGGTCCTTCATGGGCTTGTGGCCTGGCATCTTTATTTCCTCCACGGTGATGTACGTACGCCGCGGCATCTTTTTCCAGAAGAGGCCAGTCTCATCACAGTTGAATACCTGCTGGGGGATGTAGCCTTCTTGATTTATAAGTTCCTCAAATTTTTTAACAAATTCTTCGGCAGCCTTGTGATCGGAACTTGCTGCCTCGCCGTGACGCACAACGGAGTGGTTGCCAGTCCTCTTCTTGAACCGATAAAACCACCCATGCGATGCCCTGAACTCTGGGGAGGTTAGGGGTGCCTCCCGCGAGGACGTCGATGCCGTTGGCTGCTCATCGGAAGCTGCCTTACTTACTAAATCATTATAAATTGAGGACGCCTTCTCGCAAATGATAGTCTCTGTGAGGGTATTGCCAGTCTTTCCCTTGTCTTTAATCCAAACAAGGAGAAGCCTTTCCATCTCGTCGTGTATGGGGGTCCTCCTTTTGGACATGATGGTGGTGCCCATTGAAGGTTTACCTGCTTTGATGACTTCTTTTTGTTTTAGAATTGTTCCTATGGTCGAAGGATTTCGGCCATACTCACGTGCAATAGCACTAAGTTTCACACCTCGCTCATATTTATCAATAATTTCTCTCTTTGTTTTCATCGACAGCACTTTACGCTTCATTTTGCTAGCTGCGTGGTTCAAGTGGACAGCAAAGCGCAAGTACGGAAGTGAAGGGGTTGTCACGTGATTCGGAAGGCATTGTGGGCATTGAAGGCTCAGCCAATCAGAGCCAGCGGATTTCGTTACGCGGGCATTTTGCCGTAACACGGGCAGAAGTATTGCCGTTCAGTGCCTTCGTAACTTGAATGTTTCGTGAAATGGGGTTTTCGTAAGTCGGGGTTCCACTGTATTCTGCATTAGCATCAATCAGCCTGCAGCCTAAACCCACAATGTACACACAATGACCCGCATCCTTTACCGAGATGTGCGAATGACCGAACAACATCCTGCACTGTGAGGTGTGCCGTGCACATTCATTGTAATGCGTGCTTACTAACCTGAGGCAGTGAAGCTGCTGTCAGCCTGGGTAACAAGTAGACGAAAACACAAAAATCTTCTTTAAACCGTGAACACAAAAGACACACATGCTGTGCTGGCGTTAGCTTCACAACAGGAAGTTCTTTCTGTGAAATTCTTCTTCTGCGCCCCAAAACACTGTTCGGTACCACCATCGCGCTCTGCGCCCTCTAGTGTCCGGATGTAGAATTGCATTTTAATGCCTGAACCTCACAATCCAACAGGTTTTTGCAACGTGTTTTTAAATCACTGTAACTTTTGAAACGTTCGCTCAATTGAAACAAATCCAATTGTTTCTGAAAGCAGAGACTCTGCGCTTTCTCTGCATTTAACTTTAGCGTGAATATCCATGCACAGTTTGTTCAGCTGATAGAAAAGTCACATATAAAATTACCTGATACTTGTAAAAACACCAAAGTTAGCCGCTTGACTGTGGCTGTAGTTTCTCCGTAGGGTTACATTCACCTGGAAGTATGTCTGTGAAGGTTCTCAGTCATCCAGCTCAGCGTAGTGTAAGGAGCTACTGATGGAGAGTCCCACATTTAGCCATATGGGAGTGTCCCCAAGAGGGTCATGGACCCCCTAATCATCCTCTACCTAATCATACGAGCCGAGGTGTGAAGATAACAAAGCCAGCAGACAGGGTGGCACCTTTGTCTCTCATGCATGAAGAGAGACACCTCTGAAAAGGCCTCCAGGCCTCTTTAAGTGCAGTCACACCTAACAAAAAGGGATAAACCTGGATTATAGATGTTCAACGATGGTCGTTCAGACAGCACAAAAGCATTGCACATCTGCCTTTCACGAGCTGCCGTCTTCCAAGGAAAAGCATTTACAATTCTTTGTCAGCTGTCAAAGGGTTTCCTACAGCTCGCCTCCTGTCTCTTCACAGCCAGGGAGCTTCTAACGACCTCTGACCTCCTGTAGTTTGGAGTTATCAAAGTGACAGTAATGTTTATGCTGAGAGATGGGCTTAATATGATGGAGTTGGTTCATGAGGAGATTTACTTGTTTGAGAGGAATCAGTAAATATGGTGAATGAAACTAGCGCCCCCCTCCCCCCTAATAAAAATCAGGTCTGATTTTATAGAAATGCTATTGGACGCATTAGCTTTAAAATAAGTGAGGAATGTGCTTTTCTATTTCCAGTGCACCCAAGAGGCATTTCTGCTGCACACAAAGGTAACTGAATGTAATTTCTTCTTTTCAGGTTGGAAATGTGTCCAGACTCTAACATTCACCCACGGGCTCCATCCTAGGGATTTATGAGGAACAGGGAAAATGATCCGGAGAGAAGCAGCGGACTGACTGGAAGAACTGGAACGAGCTCATATAGAATCAAACCACTGTAAACGTTTTAGAGCAAATTAAACGTGTTGTTGAGGAGCTAAAATAGAACAAATAGAAGCTTAAATACCTCAGACAAAACTATTATAAAACGACCCCAAAGCTAAAAAATAACAGCATGGAAACTGTGCAAACAGTTAGAAACATTAAAAATCCACCTGCTTATTGCTGCAAACCCAAAGATACAGAAGGATCCTTTTGGTCCTCCTTCGTCACTTCCCTGCTCCTCCTCTGCCTCACCTCGTGCTGTCATCCTGGGTTTGCATTGAAACTATTCCCCACCTAACCCCTTATCTATGTAATGCTGAGCTTCGTGCCCCTTTTAAAAAGAAAACAAGGAGAGAGCGCTCAAACATACACCCTACCAAAGTTACTAGAATTAAAGACCTGCCACCAACAGGTCAGCAGATCTTCCTGCACCTCCATGGAGGAAATTTCACCTCTACAGAATAAACATTTTTTATACTTTTTGTTTTATTTGTGTTTATTAGTGACTCCAGAACTTTTGCAGCTGTTAGTAATCACTAAACATTGCAACAGGGACACATCAGCATTAGCACTTGAGTTACTTTAACTATATTTTCATGGTGTTGTTTACTGCTTAACTTTAACTATTTATATGTACAATATCTAAAGATTTTGAAAGCTTTAAGACAATAAAAAAAACCGACATACATCTCACACACACACACACACACACACACACACACACACACACACACACGGCTCTCTAGTTTGAAATCTAACTTAACACAGCCTTTTAAATCATGCTGCTGGACTCTTGATACAATACCACAAAGACAGCATCATTTAAACAAATAAAGAACATTTTTCATTATACAGCAGCCTCATACCCTAAAGCAG